GTTAGACCCCCGGAACTGGGGTCACATGCTAGTAAGACACCTGATGTGGGTGCTGTGAACAGAAGTCAGGTCCTCTGCAAAAGCAGCAAGTATCTACCCTAACCACTGAGCAATCTTCCCAGCCTTCCAGCCTGCATTCAGTCTACGGTGACAGATAGAGACATCATGCCTCTGATTTCTGTGGTGCTGGGGATTGAACCCAGGACCTTGTGAAGGCAAAGCAAAGGCTCTAAGCCCCAACCCAGGGACCACATTTTCTAATTTTCTGATGTGCTGTTGAGTACAGGATAGTGCCTTGAGGTGTAAGACAAGTGCTGGAGAAAGGATGGATGGCTGTCTAAGCATTAGGAAGATCACTCTCAACAAGCAAACGGCGCTGATCCAGGAGTGAGATCAAAGGAGAGATGTGCCCTGGTTCTAGCTTTACCTTTATGACATTGTGTGACTGCAGACATACCATATGACCTCTCATCAGCTGACTAAGTAGTGGCTGATTTCTTTGTCTCCTGTCCTGACTTTTGTCCTTTGTAGCATCCTATGCAAATCAGTCTGCCTAAGTGCAGTTTTCCCATCAATTCCAAGCAGACTAGAGCCACACTTGGTAGTGCAGGCACAATCCGAGCTGCTCTGCTGGGGCAGGGTAATCACAAGTGTAAGGCTAGTGTGGGCAGCATATGGAGTTCAAGGCCAGCATTGGCAGTTTAGTGAGATGATGTCTCAAAATAAAATGCAAAAAGGAGAGCTAGAATATAACCCAGGGATAGAGAGCTTATATAGATGGGGGAGGAGGGCCTGAATTCAACACCCAGTACTATCAGTATGATGCCTGAGGTATTAATTAAAATTGCAGCCTCCCAGGACTTGGCTGGACTGTGCAGTAGAAGGCCTAGCATGTAATGCACTCTCAGTGAGAAGTGGCTGGGAACTCTGTCCTGGTGTCTGCATCTTCCTAAGGAAGCAGGGTAGGAGGGTTGGGCCTGGGGTGGCAGATGAACTTCCGCTTCATTCTCTATAAAATGGAAGGCTACAGATAAAGCCAGTGTGCTGGAATGCATGGAATTTTTGGAACCTTCTCAGTAGGAATGTGTGACAGACAGGAACCTGTTAGGGGTGGGGAGACTCAAGCCTTGTTGACCTCTGACCTCGCCAGCACCCCAAGCCCTGAAGCCTGGCCTAACCCAAGGCTGATTTGTCCCTAGGCACAGCTATGCCATTTACCCATCCAACACTGTGGCCCTTTGTTCCTGCCAAGTAGTGGTGGGAGCAGCCATGGCCTTGGTCTATCACGTGCTCTGTACCAGGTGTTTCCCAAACATCATTGCATTGAACTAATGCTATGAACCTGTGAGGTCAGAGGAGCAAACAAAGCTGATCCGAAGTCATACAGGTAGCTGGGCTGGGAGCTGAGGGGGTCAGCTCAGATAGTCCAGGCTTGCTTCGTTAACTGATGATCTGGATCTTCTACAGAACATAAATGAAGAGCCAGGTGCTATGGCTCACACCTGAAACTGGGCTCTGCAGAAGCAGAGTAAGTGAGCTCCAGCTCTGGCTCAAAAAATAAGATGGAGCATGGTGGTAGTGGTGGTGTATACCTCAGGAGGCAGCACTCAGGAGGCAGATGCAGAGGCAGAGGCAGAGGCAGAGGGATCTCTGTGAGTTCAAGGCCAGCCTGGTCTACAGCATGAACTCCAGGTCAGCCGGGGCTACACAGAGAAGCCCTGCCTTGAAAAACAAACAAAAAAGTAAATAAATACAATATAAAATAAGGTAAAAAGCAATTGAAGAAGACACTGGATATTGACCTCTGGTCACATATATGTGTGTGAGAGTGTGCACGCGCGCACGCACACACACACACACACACACACACACACAAAGCAACTGGGCTGAGATTTGACCTTCGAAGTCATCTAACTCCACAGCTCATGGCAGCAGGGGTCCATGCATACTTAGTCTTTGAGAGGCACTGTCGCTGGCCATCTGGAATTCCAAGAAGTGATTAACTCACCAGGTGAGATAGTTGTCAAAGCTTGTAGATGATGGTGACAGTCCCTGTGGCTTCTACCTGCCCTCCAGTAGACTCTCCTGCCAGTCAATCGATTGTCACTGGGTTAGTTTTGCCTTTGAGAAAGCTGAGGGATTGAGAGGGGAAACAAAGGCTGAGAAAGGTGATTTGCTGTGGGGAAGGGGTCCCCAAAGGATCTGACCCTGGATATATCAACTAAGGGTGTCTCAGAGGGGTCCCTTGCCCAGCTATGGGACACATTTTACAAGCAAGGAAGATGAAGTTTAAAGAAAACAGCAGCCCTCCTGGGCATCTGTCATCCAAGCACTGTGGGGGGTGGAGGTAGGAAGGTCAGGAGTTCAGTGTCATACTGGGTCACATAGTGTATTTGAGGCCAGCCTGGGCCCTATCTCAAAAACAACCCCTCCAAAAAGAATTAAATGCATTAATTAAAGGTAAATGTTTTTAAATGCAGTCGAGAAATGGATGGAGAAGCCCAGAGAACACTGGACACTTTTCACACTGCTAGCATCTCAGGGTTCTTTCCTAGTCCTCTTGGGTTATTGTCTCAGTTTGAGGTCCTGCAGAAACTGACAATGTAGACGGCAAAGGGATCACACCCAACTTCACAGTGCCCAGTTATAGAACTTTGCTTCTAACCCCATAGAATCCTCTGATGGGCAAGGGATGGACCTGTGGCAGACAGGTACAGTGGGGGGGGCAGAGGTTGATGGGGTACAGTGGGAGAGTAGACTAGAGACAGATGGGGTGTGGTGGGGATGGGCAGACAGACAGCTTCCTGAGTTATAGAGGAGCAGAGAGGGTGATCAGAGAGAAGGATACTGCAGTCAAATATCTGGGTTTGGAAGGGCATGCCACTACCTCTACCCAATACTCTGAGGGAACAGTGCCATCAGGGGCCCCAGGAACTCACAGGCAACTATTGAGAAGGCCCCAGAAAACACTCAAGCCCCTGGAGAGTCCCCCAAGACCACCTTTGGGTGGAGTAGGAGCGAGCTGGCAGTACTCATGCCCCCAGAGACACAGAGGGGTGCACATACAGTATCCAGGTGGAGGTGAAGGCAAGCAAGGCAGAGATAAAATTCCCTCCTCACCTTGGGGCTCTCTCCAGTTCCCCCAGGCGCTGTCTGGATAGACACCTCTCTCTCTCTCTCTCTCTCTCTCTCTCTCCTCTTGTTTGGGGCAAAAAGAATGACAAGTTTGAGCTTGTCCTCCAGCTCCCACATAATTGGTGGCAGCAGGCAAGGCTGCTACAGAGGGAGGGGTTTCCAGAGGAATGGAGGAGGGACAGTGCTGGGAGGGACCAACCTTTCTGTGGCCTCCACACCATTCCCATGACCCGCGTGTTCACCTCCCCCGTGCCATCTCTCACATCCTCCTCACAGCTCCCACAGGCAATGTCCTCAGAGCATCACCCACCCCAATAAAGCCACCTTCTAACAAGGGAAATTGAGGCCAATTGGGATGGGACCAGAAGCTAAGAGGAGTCTGTCTCAGGACAGCAAATTCATAGCCTCTGTCTATGTTCGTTCTTGCTTTTCCATTTAATCCCTACTAAAGGAATGGCTGTCTCTTCCCTAGGGTAGGAAAGGGTTTGCTGACAGCCCACCCCCACCCCAGCTGACGCCCGTTGCCAGTGTCAAGGGTTTGAGAACTGAGTCATATTTAGAGACATCTTGGTTATTGTCCAGTTCTCCTGAGTACCCTGGGATGTTGGTTTCTGTTCTGCATAAAACTGGCCCTGGAGCAGGACTCTGAGGCCTGGTACAATTGGCTCAGAGCAACTGGAGTGGGTAGGGGGACAGTGTCCAGGCCAGGGCGATTTGCTCCTTCAGCGGAGTGTCTCTACATTAAACTTATCCTCTGCTGCCTCTGAGGTTAGCTGTGGAAGCTGGCTTGGAGATAGTGTACAGACTCTTCTATGTGTGCCTAAGATGATCGTGGGTTGGCCTCTGCCAGTGTGCTGAACACTAGACAGCGCCTATAGGAGCCGAGTGAGAGGTATACCTCCAACGCCTACAGAGCCAGGCAATTTTAGCCGAGGAACTCAGATCTGAGAATGAGGATTGTGTCCAGAGGGTGGGAGTGACTTAGGGGTAAAAGTTCGGAGGACATTACTTGGCCCAGAGTGCGAGCCCATCTATGTGTTCCGAGGTGCAGCCTCCCTTACACCTCGCGCCCTCTTTGTCTCCCCGCCGAGGTGCGCATGCAGACCTGCTCCGTTCGGCCCTCCTGGTGTGCGAGCGCCGGGGGGGGGCGCACCCTCGACTCCCCCGCTAGTTCCCCACGGGGAGAGCGGACCAGCCAGAGCCCTGGTGCTGTTTGGTCTGGAGCGGAGCGGGGGCTTGCATTGATCCATTGATTGTGCGCGGTCTGCGCCTGACCTCCCTGCTCCCGGGGAAGCCGTCTCCATGGAGACCGGGCCCGCTCCCCCAGCGCCGGATTGTAAATTCCTGCAGGCAGCGGCCCGGCAGCCTGGGGAGGGGGCCGCGCGCCCGGGCGCGCAGGGGGAGCGGCCGCCACGCCGAGGCCCCCTTTGAAAGAAAAAAAAAAAAAAAAGGACACGAAAAAGGAGGTGGTGGAGGAGGAGGACGGAGAAGAGAAGCAGGAGGGGCAGTGGGAAGGGGAGGAGGAAGAAAACGAAAAGGAGCAAGGAGAGGAGGAGATAGAGGAGGAGGAGAAAAGCGAAGAAAAACAGACGAAGCCTGGGAGACGAGAAAGCAAGGGAGGAAGAAAGAGGCAGAAAGGGCGTGTTTAGGCTCTACGTCTCCCCTCCCCTTTCTCAGGTCCCAGCTCCGGCTCTGCGCGCTCGCTCTCCGGCTACAGCTCCCCGCGGGCGAAGCTGGGCGTCGGGTGCGATAGCCCGGGCCGCCCCTCGGGCCACCGCCCCGCGCCTGGCCGCGCTCCCCACGTCCAGCCCGGAGCCCCCGCGGGGCGCCCTCCAGTCCCCTCCCCCTCCGCCTCGCGCCCTCCCCGGGGCTGCGATACCCCCGCGGCCCCGCCGCGCGGAGCTCCAGGCCATGGGCTCGGGGCGCGTCCCCGGGTTCTGCCTGCTCGTCCTGCTGGTCCATGCGCGTGCCGCCCAGCATGGCAAAGCTGCGCAAGGTAAGGGAGGCGCGGCGCGGGGCTGCGGGACGGCGGGGCTGCGGGACGGCGGGGCTGCGGGACGGCTGGGCTGCGGGACGGCGGGGCTGCGGGACGGCGGGGCCCGAGCCAGGGCAGGTGCCTGGAAGTGCGTGGCTGTCAGGACCCGGTCCTGTGACCCGGACTCCCGGGCCAGGGCCAGATTTCTGGGCGCTGCGCGCCTAGCGAAGCGCTTGTAGGAGCCTGGGGGCAGCCGGCAGAAGGGAGCCTGCACTTCTGCCGGCTTCCCTGCCACCTCTAGCATCTTCCGCCGAGGTCAGAGAATCTTCTCTAACACTGCCAGGAACTTCACTGGGGGGCTTGAGGCCGAGGGAAGGAAGTTTTCATCCATGCCGCATACTTCGTACCCCTCCCCGCACGCAGTCAGGCCGAAATTTCAAAGTTGCTGTCTTATCAAGTCTAAAGATGTTAAAGAAAAACAGACTTGTTCGCGGTGAAACCGACTGCCTGTCACGGGATGGTAGGGGGCAGAAGGAGAAAATGTCTGTGACGAGCTTCTGGCACGCACGTTGCGTTTCTGCCTTTTTTTTGGGGGGGGGGAAATCTCTTTCGTCTCGCATGGCTTTCATTTCTTATCATAATATTTATTTATTAAGGCCTGGGGTTTCCAATTCCATTTAAATCCAGGTCAGAATTGCATTAAAATAACAAAGTAAAATTCCAGGCTGGGAGCTCTGACAGATCCCTCTAGGAATTAGAGAGAGACTGGGAGGCCCTCCTGCCCCGGTCCCTGACCCCGAGCTCACTGCCCAGCCAGTCCCAAGGCTGTGCTGGCAGAAACCAGGCTGGTGTCCCACAGTTCTCTGGGGATAGCCTCCCCTCCCCCATTGACCTGCTGCACCCCTCCCCCCACGTTGTCCTCACCCAAAAGAGATTTATATGGACAAAAAGAAAATTCCTCTTAGCAAGATTTTGCCCGGGAGGTAGATTCTGCCTATTGTCCCAGGGGCTCCTGAAGCCAGCCAGAGATGAGGAGGTGTCTGAGCCAGAAGGAAAGTTGAACTTGGGAGTTGGGGAAGTCTGAGTGTCTGGCAGTCAGGTCACCGTATGCAGGGGCCTGAGCCCTGGAGAAATAAGCTGTTATGTGCCACCGCTTTCACTGGGTTCCTAGAGGTACTAAAGCAACACCACTTGCCTCCCCCAAAACACTGTCTTCCCTTGCCTCCTCCAACCTATCAGTCAACATAACTAAACACTGGAGACCCTCAGCTGTCAAATACCAGACCCCACCCCAACCTCCTTCCAGCCCCAAACTGCTGCTTCTGCAGCCTTGGTCCCAGACAGTCCGATGCCTGCCTGAAACAGCCCCTCTCCCCACTGTGGATTTGCTTGTGTGTTTTCGTAAACAAAGCTGGCTTTTGTAGTGCACGCTGACTTACTCATAACATGGAATTAGCTGGGGAGTTTAGTCTGAGGAAGGAACAGATTTCGTGCAGTAATCTAGAGACAAGATAAGGGCCTCTTTCAAGTTGGAGCCAGTGTCTGCAGGGAAGGGGTGGGGAGAGGCGCGAGAGGAGAAGCAGTCTATTAAAGGGGTTCCAGGTGCAGCTGGGGACCCCAAATGGGACAGGTGTGGGGGGAACCGACCTCCAGGGTATCCCAGGTGCCTTCTTTTGTTGGACACCCCACTGGGTACTGGGGGACACTCAGCTGGAGGTACTACCCTCAAGGTTCCTGCTTATTTCAGTTCTGGGCTCCACCTGCCCGGATGAGGCTGTAGTAACTTGGCATCTGCACCCTCTCCCCCTTAGGACTTCTGAGTCTGGCTGGATTAGAATGGAACCTCTCATTAACCCTACCATTCAGGAAATCTGTGAAACCCTGTCCATCAAAGGTTGACTAACAACAGGTTTGCGGGAACACAGAGCAGTGCTTGGACTCAGAGTTGCAGGTAGATGCTGCAGGGAAGGTCTGAGCCTTGCAGGCTTACCCATAGTGCTGTGAGCTTTGGGAGGCCTCCCTTGCCCCCTCGACATCTCTCATCTATCATCAGGGCCAGGAAGTTCGCCTTTGATGCCACGTGCTTTTCAGTGGAACTTTAGAGGGTCTGTGAATCACAAACACCCTCAGCAAGTTTCTTGAAAGGAACTGTTGGACTTCTGGGGACATCTGTGTCTCTGGGAAGCGTCAAAGCCACGTGATAGGGTAGGGGATGGAACAAGGACATGAGCTTAGGGGAAAGGAGGGTGGGTGGGAGGAAGAGAAAGAGAGACAGGACTCTAGCACTGTGGGACATCCCTGGCCCACTGTGTCTACTGGGACCGAGTTCTTCAATCAGGAATGCTGAACGTTTTGTCCCTGTGGATGAGTGGGCGGGTCAGCTAGTGGGACTGGGAATGAGTGAGCTTGCTGGGTACATGGTTTTGAGTGATTTTCAAGTGCCTGTCTGTGTGTCTAAAGTAGACAGACTGGATAACCAAGATAATTGTAAACTTAAAAGCATTAATTTGCTTTGCTTTTTTGAGGGTGGGGGTGGGGTAGAGGTGGGAGGACAGCCATGGTTAAAAAGACCTAATCCTCACTCAGGGCTCGGGTTGCAGCTGAATGGAAAGCTCTCAGGGCCTCCAGAGGAACTGCTCCTGTCCCCAGGCCGGCTCTGGGACAGCCAGCCTGGCCATTTAGTTTACCTGGTAGTTTTCTTCCCTTGCCGGGGATAGAGTTTTGAGAAAGTCACCCATTTAGAAATCACAACGCCCCTGAGACTTGAGAGTGTTCATCAGTCGGGGAACAGTGTCTCTCTGTCTCTGGGTCTCTGTCTGGGTGTATGTGTCTCTCTTTCCCCCCACCCCTCTCTTCCTCTTTAATGTGGCTGTTTCCTCTCCTCCCTGCTCCCCTCGGCTCCTGTGGCCAGCTTCTACAGTGAGGGGACTGTTCCTCCTAGCCCCTCCCTCCAAAATATGAAATGAAAACCATAGCCGTGTCAGCGGGTGAGGGTGGCTCCTTGGGCAACCGCTACTGCTTGTGCCCCATCAAGGCCCTACTGGAGGGAGCAGACAGACAGACAGACAGACCCCACTCTTAGATCCTGTTGTTGTATCAGTTTCCCTAAGCTCATCTCCATTTTTAGAAAGTCCTCAGAAATCCCTTTGACCTCTTTCTGCGGCTTGCTGGTGGCATGTGATAGGTGTGCGGATACCCAGGAGCTAGGAGGAGATAAATTTTGTTCCCCACCCATTGCCTCTCTTTCCCTGCCCCCCAAGTCTTTGTAGGATAGAATGTGACAGAGAGAGGTACTACAAAGGCCTAGGAATCACAATAACTAAGGGTAGAGAGCAGGAGGAGAGTGATCAGGAGCCTGTAGATAATGCTGCTTTCTGGAATGTTCTGGAATATGACAACCGGTGTGAGATGTGAGCAGCTAGGACCTGTTGCAAATGGAGGCAGGCAGAGTGTGAATTTGGGAATGTGAGGTGTGCATTCACTGGGGTGTGTGAGCATGCATGTGCAGGACTCAGTGTGTGTGTGTGTGTGTGTGTGTGTGTGTGTGTGTGTGTGAGCACATGTGTGTGGCCCTCTGGTGAGGGGGAGGAAGTGGGCAATGTGCGTTTTGTTTTAGTTGGAGAAGTAAAGTAGAATGGCTTGGTCCAGAACCCTGAATTGAGGGTGGGGAGGGGAATGCATGGTTTCAAACCCTCTGGAGAAGATGGAGGTAGAACTCGATGCCAGAACCCACCCTGGTCTCTGCCGCCTGCTTTGGTGCGTGGGTGTGGGCCTCCATACCCCTAACACATGACCACTCAACAAGAAAGAGTTCCTGTCAGGCAGGGCTGGAGACTGCAGAGCCCGAGTCATTCTGAGGCTGGTGGTACTTAGTACCTATGTGAGGCCCAGACCTGGGGAGGCAGGAATCTGGGAAGGGGTGGACTGCTGGAGCCCCTCAGGGATGCATGGAGGGGAAGAATGGACCACTCACCTGGGCAAAGAAGGGACACTGACTCTGTAGCCTGGCCACTCTCCCTGCCTGATTCAGGTGGCTCTGGGTGGGTGGAGGATAAGGTGTGACTGAGCCTAGTGACTGGGATCTCAGGGTTCTACCCATTTTACTGAATTCGTCCACACTGGTGAGCCCTAGCTGTGCCCTGCCCTGGTTTTTCACCTAAGAGCCAGGCCCTCTCCACCTAGACCCTGTTCCACTCGGCCTGCTGGAAACCTGGTCACGTGGTGCTTTTCCTTTCTCCCCCCCCCCACCTCAGTTTTCCAAATATGACAGTCCTGTGTCAAGTGAGCAGCTAGCCCTAGAAGCATGAGTACATGTTTCTATGGATATACACTGTGGTGCCCAAGACTGACCCCTCTTTGTCCCCAGCCTGTCCCTCCTCAGACCAAGGGCTTACTCTGGAGTTGGAGCTGGATGCTACAGTTGGGTTTCAGAAGTCCCCTGAATAGGGCACTGGAGGCCCTGGTTTGACAAATGTTTTCCCCTGTGACAAACCAGAGCCCCAGAGAGCTGTGGGCTTTGCATTTCAGAACTTTGTGCCCAGGACTGTCTGGTTGTGGTTACTGACAGTGGCAAACTGAGGACATGGTAGCTGGCCCTTAGAAGATGCGGGATAAAGAGACAGATCTAAGGAGTCCCTGGGTGAGGTACATACAGCATTAGGCTATGCGGGTGTGGGGGGGAGGTTGTGGGAGGATGGGATGTCAAAGGGTGGGGGGTACAGGTTTAGAGAGAGGACTTTTTTTTTTTTTACAAGTTTCTAATTATATTTATTTGGAGTTTTCCTCTGGCGGTTTGAAGCTGTTAACAGCAGGGACCTGTATCCCTGGTGTTTGTTTTTGTTTCTAACCAGCTGCTTGGCCCCAGAGTGGTGAATCCCAAGGCTGGGGACACCTGCCCACCCTCTCCTTGCCTGTGTGTCTGCTTGCTCCCTGTCTACTCTGGTCTCCTCTTCTACCTCAGAGCATTTGGATGCTGGCTTTTGACCAACAGCCAAATTCAGCCCCATTCCATTTCGTGCTGTATTGGTTGCTTACTTCAGCCTGCTAACACTGAGCTAAACACTGAGTTGGGGCCAGGGGAGGCAGAGACCCATCTCTCAAGTTCTTTTAGAAGGCTTTCAGGGGGTGGACCTGAGTTCTGTCTTTATGCTGGCTATTGGTTCTTTCCCAGGATAACCTCATTAGGCATTTCCCCAGCCATTTAATAAGACATGCCTGCAGCTGCCCAAGAGGTAACAAAGGAGCCGGCGATTCGGCGATCCTACTGTCTTGTGTGCCCAGTCTCCTCTGGCCCTGTGTTCATCAGGCCTCTGTGCACTGTCTTTGTAAACTCTAAAATCTCATGCGTGTAGGTGCAGGCACATCGCCACAGCACACATGTGGGGATCAGAGGTCAACCTCGGGCACCAGTTCTCACCCACGGGCCACCTTGTCTGACAGGGTCAGTGATCACCCCTGTACAAGCTCAGCAAGCTGGATTAGAGATGCACACTTGTTGAATCTAGCTTTACATGAGTTCTGGGGCTCCCAGCTCAGATCCTCACCCCAGCTCTCTCCTCCTCAGAATAACCCCCCTAGCACACCCCACTTTCCAGAATGCCAAATGGTCACAGGGGAGTAACAAAGCAGGCTTCCTGCTGAGGTATGCCACAGGTAAGGCTTGCCTGCACACAGGCACCTAGTAGCCATTTGCGGAGTGGTCAGGTACGCACAATGCACAGCTCTGCCAGCAGTGTCATGGGTTCAGAGATTCAGAAGTCATGGCCTCAAGGCACTCACAGCACCGAGTTAACAAGGCTAAATGTCCCAGAGAATACTGGAGGTGATGAACAGTGACCAAAACTTTTATTGAGCACCTGCTGTATATCCACACTGTGGCACCTGGTGCTTGGTGGGTATTAACTCATTTGATGCTGGTAGCAGCCACCTAGATGGTGCTGTGACTAATTTACAGAGGAGGGAGCAGGTGTGCTCAGACCTAGGCTCAAGACCACACAAGTCCCTGAGAAGCCTGCATTAGGACTGGTACAGTATCAGTCATGTTGTTCCCGCAAAGTGTCTCCCAGCTCAGTCAAATAGCTTGTTTACTTGGAAAAGATATCGCCAGGCTTGCCTAGGAGGTCCTGATTTGGTGGGTATAGACACCCCTGGGTCTTTAGAGATCCCCAGATTCCAGTGTGTAGCTTGAGCCAAGAACCACCAGTCTAAACTAACCCATGCCAAGAGCATTACTTGGCTTGCAGCTGGCAAGCAGCTGTGCCCTCAGAGGATAGACTAGAGCTGAGGCTGCCCATGTGTGCCACAGAGATCCCTGCAAGGACTCATCTGGGCTGGCAGGTGTCCTGAGAAGGAGTACGGAAGAACTGGCAGGGGAGGAGCAGGGTACCATTTGGGGCCCCATTTCCTGCTCTATGCCTCAGGCCAGCTTGCTTCAGCAAGGGCCCAGCCACATGAGAAGTGGGACGTGTTACTTGAGACTCGTTCAGAGTGTTGGCTGGATAGATCAGTGTGAACAAAGAGGAGGACAAGCTGAGTCCCCCTGGGTGCAGGGCTCCCCAGGAGCAGGGAAGACACAGTTCTGAGCCTCGTTTGAAAAGGTGTAAAGGGCAGGCCTGAAACAGGAATGGCGAGGAGTTTGGTAGGGTGTAGTGGACTGGTTAGCTGGTATGAGGGGGTAGACCATGGTGGACATGAAGTCTGGAGCAGTGTGCTGAAGACAGGTTAGCGTTGTGGGTGGGGAGAGGGTTGCCATGAGACAGCCACCTAGCTGTGGTCCTCTTCACTTCTGCTTTAGTCCCCCGTGAGCACTTAAGGGGAGGCAAAGGGAGAGCCTGATACACCAGGAGGCAAGCCCCAGCAGATGAAGACAGAGCCCACTGAGGTGGACTTCAGAAGGGGCCCCCATGTTCTGGGCCAGACCCAGAAGTGTTCCCTGTTCAGAGCTCCAGAGCTTTGCTGTCCCTTGGACCCCTGTGCTGCTGGGACACTTCCTATTGCACTGCCACCACGGACATTTAGCCTATGGCCAGTGGGAATGAAGAGTTGTCTTTGAAATGAAATCAAAGAAGCCGAATGTGGCTCCTGGCTGCTACCGAAGTGGACAAAACAGACCTAGACCCCCATCATTCAACCCTAGCTTCATACAGTTCAAGCTTCTGGCATTGAACGCCTCCTGCTGTCTACATGCTTTATCAGGCAGTTCACACAAATTAGCCTCATCAGCTGCTTGCAGCCTGTTCTGAGGAGGCATCATCATCCCATTGTATGTGGGAATCTCAGGACAGAAAATGAGAAAGAAGTCAAGTGTGGTGCTGCTTCCCTGCTGCCCCAGCACCAAGGATGCTGGAGCAGGGGTGCATCCCCAACACCAGGGAGGCTGGAGCAGGGAGATCAGCCTTCAATGCAGAGTAAAACCTTGTCTTGTAAAGGAAAATGCTTGAAAAGGCCTCCCCAGAGGGTGGCAGAGCTGGATCTCCGCTGGGGATTGTCTCCACTGTTGGTGACCTTCCTTCAACGGGACATTTCTTGCATCTGTATCCACTCTATCAGTTGGATAGACTAGTTCTCCTGTAGCCTTTTGCCAACCATAAGGTCACTCTGACTTGGTTTATAAACTATTTCCATGCTTCTCCCCTCCATCCTTTCACTCCATGGGGACTGGCTGGCAGGCATGAAACTGCTGAGCTTGGGTGAGGTGGGCAGTGAGTGTAGACAGGTTGTGAGAGGAGCTGAACAGAGCCAGAAGATCTGAGGCAGGGGTGTGAGGTGTTCCCCTTTCGGTTCTTAGCCCCAGGGTGTACCAGCCCAGCCCCCACTGCTTCTGGAAGCATCAGAACAGAGGACTAAGGATTGCTTCTAGCTCAGGCTTCTGAGAGTTGACAAACTACAGAAATGGCTAGTGCCCAGTGTACACTGCTGAGTCAAAAACACACAGCATGGCTTGATCTGTTTTCACTGGACCAGCCGCCAGGCCTGAGAATCAGTATCATGTCAAAACCCACTCGGTGGCTCGGGGGTCACACCTGCCTGCTCCCAAGTCCCCACTCTGTCTGTTACTGGCAGACTTTTATTCATATACCCTTTGTATACTTTGTGTACCTTTTCTAGCTCACATGTGGACATGGCCTCTTCCTCCTCAGACTGTGACAAAGCTTTCAACCCTAACTGTTCATTAGAATCAGCTGGAAACTTTTGAGAAATATGGATTGCCAGGCCCCAGCCCAGACTTGTTGATTACAGTCTTTGGGGCCTTGGGTGTTTTTAGGGGAGTTGGCTCTGCTGTACTGCTTGGGGTGAGGCCCTCCTCATCCCTACCCTCTGTACACCCACCTGTCTCCACTTCCTGTCACTTATCTATCCTGGCTGGGCTAAATCACCTGTGTGGTTCTGAATGCATGACTGTCCCAGAGAACCCCTTTTCCACTAACTGAGACCTCCTCCTCATCAGTTGCATAATGTTGTCCTCAGCTTCCCAAGGTCCTTCTGCTTGTTTTGTTTTCGAGACAGAGTTTCTGTGTAACCCTGGCTGTCCTGTAGACCAGGCTGGCCTCAAACTCACAGAGATCTATCTGCCTGCCTCTGCTTCCCGAGTGCTGGTATCAAAGGCATACACCACCCCCCCTGGCGGGAGGTCCTTTCTTAATCATTCCTATGTTTGATGCTCTGGAGGTACCTCTATCCTCTAGAGTAGCTGTCTGTTATACCTGTTAGAGTACTTAGTTTTGATGCAAAAAGATCCAGAACTGGGGGTAGGGATGCTGCCTGGTCAGTGGGAGAGCACAGAGAACTGCACTTAACAAGCTTCAGATTGCCTGGCCAATACCTGCCAGCACCTGGTCCTTCTGCTGATAGTTAAGGGGCCAAGGAAGATCTTCCTGGATGGAACTCTGTTCCTGTAAATCTTCTTGGTGCCATCGTGAACAAGCAGGAACAGGCTTGATCTTTTGTCTGGGCTTTTGAGACAGTGTCTGTAAGTGCTGGAATCACAGATGTGCACGGATGGATCACAGGTGTACACCGATGTACCAGGTAAGACAGGTCTGTGCTAAAGTGGACTGTGCGGCAGATAAGGATCCCACATACTGCCCATCTCCTTTTCTTCTTTAATTACTAGTGACCAGCCAGGCTGGTTGATACATGCCTGTAATCCCAGCATTTGAGAGAGATGGAAGCAGGGGGATCAGGTATTGAAGGGCACCAAAGCTATGTAATGAGTTCTAGGCCGGCCTGGATTATATGTGTCCCTATCAAAAAAAAAAAAAAAAAAAAAAACCCTGGACATAGCCAGCTTGCCTGTCTCTCCCTCCCTCCAAGCCTGCTCATTCATACTGGGCTGACTAGGTCTAACATGTCAAGTGTGCTGTTCAGATTGAAGAGTGTTTCAGAGAGTAGTCAAGCTGTCATTGTGGTTTAATATCTTTGAGGCAATAAGGGTTCACTCTTCCTGCAAAGTTCAGAGGAGCGTGAGGGATTCAGGGGTGCACTGGCTCTGTCCTGAAGAGGGGCTTTGACTTCCTTGAGAGGCACCAGTTGAGGGCCTTACATGTCCTCCTCTGCCAGATGTGGATGAATGTGTGGAAGGGACTGACCATTGCCACATCGATGCCATCTGCCAGAACACTCCACGATCATACAAGTGCATCTGCAAGTCCGGCTACACGGGGGATGGCAAACACTGCAAAGGTGAGGCTGGGAGGTGTTGCTGCAGGGGCTGCACCACAGTTTCCAAAGGCCTGCAGCCTCTACAGCCAAGGAGGGTAAACATATCTTTACAGAGAGAGCAGTGTTCTGGTTTGCACCAAAGCACTGCACAGACCCATTGGGGTGCTGGTGGGAACACTTCATGGCCTCATAGCCACACAGCTGTCTGCAGTGGACACACCGCAGTCACAAAACCACGCTGGAAGATCCCTGAAGCAAGAGCCTCTACTTGTACTGTTCCTATTGTGCTCAAGGGGTGGGACCAGCGTGTCCCAGTGGGAATTCACCCACAAACAAGCATATCTTCTGCTATAATTAAAACACAGCAAAATAACCTAGGAGTATTTTCTCAGTGTGTGACCTCAAGTACCGCTGTAGCTTCAGCGGACAAGGTACACATTACTTCCTGTTGGCATAACAAACCTAGGATTACAGTTGCCCCCTAGAATCTGAGGGGTATTGGTTTAAGGATGACACCCCCTTCCAGCAATACCACAATAAAAAAAAGTTCGAGTTCTCTATATAAAATGGCATAATTAAAAAGACAAAAGTTAAATGGCATAGGTGTTTGTATATGATCTTCAGCATCCTCCAGTGTACTCTCTCTCTGTGCACAGATGTGGACGAGTGTGAACGGGAGGACAATGCAGGCTGTGTTCACGACTGTGTTAACATCCCTGGTAATTACCGATGTACCTGCTATGATGGATTCCACCTGGCACATGATGGACACAACTGTCTGGGTGAGCAAAGGGAGGCTTGGCGGGCACTTGGTAGAAAGGAGGCATTTTCAGCATTTCTCAGGCGAGGAGGGAAAAGTGGTTAAAGAACTGAATTTTTTCACTGAGGCAGGCCAGTGAGGACTAAGTAGTGATGCTTATGGCGGGAAAGCATTAGAGGAGGCACTGCACCAGGTGAGGCCCAGCAGAGGAAAATGGTGGGCTTGGCTCCCTGCATGGGGACGTGGCTCTGCTACTTAGGACCCATGGGGCCTTGAGCAAGTCAACTAGCTTCTGAGAACCTTAGACTCCTTATCTCTACTGTGCATCAGTAGGTACCCTCCTTCTTGGAGGCTGCCGCTTGTGGCTAGTTTTGTCTCCACCCTTCCTATCTCCAGGTCTGCGCCTCAGTCTGCCTGATGTCCCTTGTCCCAAGAGCTCTATTATACAGATGGGATCCCTGGGCCACTGAACTCAGCTTTAGTCTGTCATTTTTGAGAGTTACTCAGACCAAGCTTCCCCCTCGGTAGAAAATCTGAAGTGTGCAAGATGAGTTGGATCTTCCCAACCCCAATTCTCACCAAGAACTAATTAACCATAGAGATGAGGGAGAGTAGGTATTGAGAGTGTCAAAGTTACAAAAGTCTGTTTAAGGACTGAAAGCCTCAACCATCCTTTAGCTCTTAGGGAACCCTTGAGAAAACTCCATGTTTTGGGCCTCAGTAGAGGATGGAAAGACAGTGTGAGCCTAGAGATGGAGTTCAGGTACAGACGTGAGCTCTCAGGGTGAGCTTGGCTCTAGGGGTGGTGACTTGGGGGCACCCTATTGTCCCTCCTCTGCCATCCAGGGTGTGGCCTGCCCATCTTCCCCACCCTTCCATACCACACTGCCAGGCTTTGTTTTGTTAAACCATAATAGGAGAAAAGCTAGGGACTATGGCAATGAGCCCAGGCCTGGGGGAGGGGGAGGAGGAGGTTGTGGCCTGTCCATAGAAATGGTCCTTGCCTCATGAGGACTCATGACTCAGCTGCTGTTCCCACCATCTTCGTCACCACAGCTGTACTGCTGTGTGAAGATGGAGCCATTTCCAGGTTCCCTGATTTCCTGGCTGCTCATCACAGCTAGCTGCCACTCCTGGTATGCCATTGCTGGCCAGTGTGACTAGTCACCATCCTTGTTCACCAATGTCCCTCTCACTCTGGCTTCTCTCCTGACCTCTGCACTCAGGCCCAGGGTTTTTATTTACTTATTGAGATTTTATGTGTGTATAGGCATGTATGTTCTGTGTACCACATGCCTGAGGTACCTGTGGAGGCCAGGAGAGGACATTGGGTTCCCCAAAACTGGAGTTACAGGCAGTTAGCCACATGTGGGCACTGGGAATAGAACTCAGTTCTTCAGAAGAGCAGTCAGTGCTTGTAATGGCTGAGCTATCTCTCCAGGTTTGAGGGGTCAAACCCAGTCTCTATGGTGTGTGTGTGTGGGTCCAGTCCTCACCTAGGCTGACCAGGTTTGGATGCTCCTCACCCTACCTGAGCTTTGCCCTACATGCCTTGCTAAGGGTGGCTCATGTGTATGGGTTGGGTTAAGTCTGTCCCAGTCTTTGATGCTCCTCCCACAGCCCCACCAATCACCTGTTCCACACAGATGTAGACGAGTGTGCTGAAGGCAATGGTGGCTGTCAACAGAGCTGTGTCAATATGATGGGCAGCTATGAATGTCACTGCCGAGAAGGCTTCTTCCTCAGCGACAACCAGCATACCTGTATCCAGCGGCCAGAAGGTCAGCCCATGGCTTGGGAGGCCCCTCAACACTGCTTTCCCTCAACACTCCATGTCTCACAGTCCAGATTTCTCCCTCTTCTTAACTTAGTCACAGCCTTTGGCCTCCATGCATAGACACTGTATTAGAGAAAAATCTAGGGTCAGGTTAATATGGAACTGAGGCTGCTTTGGGGTGTTCTCTGGTCCAGCTGTGATGCTCATTCCTGTTGATGAGCAATTGCCTGTAAGCTGCCACTTCTCAGGGACAGCCTCACCAACATCCCCTTCCATGGCCTGGATTGGGAAGGTTGTTACACAGAAGCATGGGGTGTGTGACCTGCCTGTTCTTTCCTTCACTGGAAATGATACCCTGAGGGCAATAGCTATGTCTAGTCTGCCTTTATGTCCCATCGCCTAGTGCTGCCCTGCCAGCAATAGGAACTTAATAAAACTGTGGCATAGCTGGGCATAGTGGCACACGCCTTTAATCCCAGCTCTCAGGGGGCAGAGGCAGGCAGATCTCAAGGCCAGCCTGGTCTACAGAGTGAGTTCCAGGACACCAGAGCAACACAGAAAATCCCTGTCTCAAATTAAAAAAAAAAAAAAAAAGAAAGAAAAGAAAAAGGTGGTGGCATAGTAATTATTTCTCACTTTATCAGTCTGATTGCTATTTATCTCCAGATTTCTAGTTTCAGTGTGAGCTCTTTGAGCAAAGAGGTCCTGGTTTAGAATTTTCTGGGTCCTTCCTAAATCTAGAGCATCTCTGATTTGGGTTGCCCCTCATAATGTCCTTAGCCCCAACTGGTCCCACCCCTCTGAGGCTTCCAGGTGCAGATGGAGCACCACCCTCTCCTCTTCCCTTTTTAGAAGGAATGAACTGCATGAATAAGAACCATGGCTGTGCCCACATTTGCCGGGAGACTCCCAAGGGGGGCATTGCCTGTGAATGCCGCCCTGGCTTTGAGCTCACCAAGAACCAACGGGACTGTAAATGTGAGACACATGAGGACAGGGGAGTGGGGGCAGGAGGGTGTGGAGCCTCAGTGGCCCAAGGGAAGGGATGGGAGCATGGTGGAACACCATGAGGAAAGGGTAGTTTCCAGCCCTGTAGACCTGTAGCACAAGGGAAAAGCAGGCTAACTGGTCTCCTCCCTTTCTATGCAGTGACCTGCAACTATGGTAATGGTGGCTGCCAGCATACATGTGATGACACAGAGCAGGGTCCCCGGTGCGGCTGCCATGTCAAGTTTGTGCTCCATACTGATGGGAAGACATGCATAGGTGGGTGAAGCTAGAGAACAACTCAAGCTACTTGTGACAGGGTGGGGGAAGGGGCTGAGAACTGCAGGGAAGGGGGTCTAGGTGCTGGATATAGTAACTGATGAGAGAATGAAGACCTTTATGATGGCAGGTCTAGTGAGGGATGGCTTTGGGAGACTAAAAGACACATTTGAACATCTGCCCTCCCCAGGAGTCTTGCCCTCCCCTTCCTCCCAGGTTGAAGCATTGTCAAACTAGGAGCCATTAGCAGAAGTGATAGTCAACAAGACTGTAGGGATGTCCACAAGACTGTAGGGATGGTCCACAAGACTGTAGGGATGGTCCACAAGACTGTAGGGATGGTCCACAAGACTGTAGGGATGGTCAACAAGACTGACTGTAGAGATGGTCAACAAGACTGTAGTGATGGTCAACAAGATTGTAGGGATGTCCACAAGACTGTAGGGATGGTCCACAAGACTGTAGGGATGGTCCACAAGACTGTAGGGATGGTCAACAAGACTGACTGTAGAGATGGTCAACAAGACTGTAGTGATGGTCAACAAGACTGTAGGGATGTCCACAAGACTGTAGGGATGGTCCACAAGACTGTAGGAATGGTCAACAAGACTGACTGTAATGATGGTCAACAAGACTGTAGTGATAGTCAACAAGACTGTAGGGATGGTCCACAAGACTGTAGGAATGGTCAACAAGACTGACTGTAGTGATGGTCAACAAGACTGTAGTGATGGTCAACAAGACTGTAGTGATGGTCCACAAGACTGTAGGGATGGTCCACAAGACTGTAGGAATGGTCAACAAGACTGACTGTAGTGATGGTCAACAAGACTGTAGTGATGGTCAACAAGACTGTAGTGATGGTCAACAGGACTGTAGCAATGGTCCACAAGACTGTAGGGATGACTTGAGGAACTCTGGGGCAGTCAGCTGAGCAGTTGACCCTGGTCCTGGTTGACTAGTGTGGTGAGGTGGGGACAGCCATAACCCAGTGTCCCCACTGCTTAACAGGCCAGGACATACTGCTTGTCCCTAGAGCAGTTAGCAGTGAGCTGATAAGTAGGGTGGCTTCAGGCTCGCTTCCTCTTTACCTTTGCAAATCCCCTTCCTACACTTCACTTGATGCTCCCAGGCCCACCTCCCACTAAGCATCCAGTGGTGCTGGTTGTCTACTGTGCCTGTGGCTGCCTGCAACCCTTAGCTGCTGCAGCCCCCTCCATCCTTCCGTGCCTGAAACCCTTCTCCCAAATTCCTAGGCCTGACCCAGGTCTCCAGGTACCCTGAATGAGCTAATTCCTTAAAGTTATCTTTTGATTTCCCTATGTTGCTATTTCTTCAGTGGTGAGGTGACTGGACAAGGTATCCCCTTAGAGAAGTGGGAAATGAAAGGAAGGACTTTGGCTAGAGGTGAAGCAGGGTCTTAGAGCCAGGCAAAGATAGGCATACTTACTTTGTGGGCATGGCATTTATGGAGATAGGTCCATCTGGTGGGCCACAGCAGGCCAGGGAAGGAAAGGTGAGCACAGTGGCTCTGTGAAGCCCTGTGTGTCCAAGGCAGATTCAGGTTAGGACCTGCTCAGTCCCTTGCTCCCTGTCCTAGTCACTTCAGCCACAGGACAGGTGGACAGATGGGCTTCCACAGGGTTCCCAGCACCTGCTCCAGATACATGTGGATCCAAAGTGCTGCTGTAATGGAAAGCTCTCGCTCTGCTCTCTCTCTAACTCTTCAAAGACCCTACAACCGGCTCAGGTCTTCCTATTGCCTTCTCTGGCTGGGTTGTTCCAGCGCCTTTCATATTCTCCTGATAGGGCTAATTCGTCTGCTTGGCAAGCCTCCCACCACCCTTTGAACACACCCACATATCCCCAGATTCTTCCAGAAGAAACTGCATGTGGTCCCTAAGGAGAAGAGACAGAGGCCCCATGGGGAAGAGGCAGGGCTCCCTCTTGAGTTTCTGTTTGGATGTTCTCAACATGGCTGTTTTTTTTTTTTTTTTTTTTTTGTTTTGTTTTGTTTTTTTTTTTTAATGCCCTTATCAAGCTTGACTTCTCTAACCCAAGTCCCACTGCACCATCTGGGCATTAGCCAGCAAGGCAAGACAGAGCAAATGAGGCTTTTCCTCCCCCTCCCCCTTCTGTTCCAAGGGGGATGAGCTTACTTACCTTGGCAGGAGGAAAAGTCACTGGTGTTACCAGAACACTCAGAGTGGGGAGACTGGGAGCATAGTGTAGTTAAAACAGAAGGGATTAGGGAGGTTGCTGAATGCAAGACTTGACATCTCATGCCAGCTTTGCCTGTGACATGCTATATGGGGTTGGACCCACAACCACTCTCCTTGAGACTCAGAATCTCTGTTTCATAGTCACTTGATGGGGACCTCATTTCTTTGAGGGTACCAGGCAGGACAAGGGAGAGGAAGGAAGCTAATCTGCACTCCCAGGGATTGCCATATGGGGTTAGTGGTTTGGACCTTCAGGGTGGAGGGTGCAGGGTGGGCCTGGGGCCCAGTGGGCTGCAGTGACACCTGCCCCAAATCTAAACAGCTTTTTTACAATGTCAAACAGGGGAAAGGCGGCTAGAGCAGCACATGCCCACTCAGGCCGTTTCTAATGGTAAATATGTCTGCTCTCCGCTTGCTCTCACTGGCTTGCTAGGGAAGGGCTAATCCGCTGGGGCTCCCACTAACCGCATGCCCAGCAGGGCTCCCCTGGCAGTGCAGGCACTAGACCTATCAGGTGGCAGGAAACCTAAGTCCTTAAGAGTTGGCCTGGGAACCTTTATGCGGACCATCTTCCTGGTTCCTATCATTCCTCTCCTTCCTCTCTGCTTCCTCTTCCTATACCACCTTCTAACACCCCATCCCCGTCCCAGCCACCAGCACCTCTGTCACTGCATCTCAGCCAGTGCCATCTTACCCATCATTTCCGCTATGCCCCTGAAAAAAGGCACACCAGATTTGGATACCATCCCCTCTGTGGGTTATCCTTCTTGGGTTCCTATTGTTAGTACATCACCGACTCATCTCAGCTGCTCATCTCTGCCTGATGTTGGGTTCAGCAGACCAGAGTTTGGATCCTGGCTCTACCATGTTCTCACCAGCCAGTCTCCAGTGAGCCCCCATCTTCTCTGATCCTCAGCCTACTCTTCTGCAGGAAGAGGGAGTGATAATCCTCCCATGGGTGTGATGATTAGAACAGCACTTAGCATGTGGTCAGTGCCTTGAACAAAGGACAGGGCAAGCTACACTCTCCTGCCACCCTCCCTGCTCTGAGCAATTGTCCAGTAGAGATGGGCAACTCTGTTCAGCTTCCTGATCCAGCCTGGCGGGGGCACCGTGTCAGTTCTGCGGGTCCTCCAGAGGATGTACACACAGACAGGATCTTGTCCAGGCCTTAGTGGCCTTCTAGACCACTTCTGGGGGAGACTGGACTTGAGCTCCTCATGGACTGGGGGACCTCAGGGAGACCACAATGAGAGGAGGGTGCACTGTGGGCCTCTTTTGGAGTTCTACACACTGCCCTCATTGGTGACAAGGGTGGCCGACATACTGATTCTGAAAACACTCTCCTCTCTTGCCCCATGGAGGCCTTAGGGTGCTAATGGGAAGGTGCCTGGTACATCACCCTAGGTCCCCATGCCAGGGTCTTGCGCTCCTGGGGCTGATGGCTTCTCCTTGGACCCACTCTCCAAAGCAGCTGTTTAAATCTGTTTCCTCCTGCTCTGGCCTCTCAGCAGACTCAACTCCCCAGACCAGGCTCTGAACTCTTTCCACCTTCCCTCTCTGGATTCTTCCTCTCCTCTAGCCCCTCCCTTGCACATTATCTCATCAGCAGAATAAAAGAAGCAGACAGGCTGCTTGTTTCCAGGTGGATATGAGGGTCTGGGGAGGAGTTAAAGGTGGGTGTCCCAGCTTGGCTGTATCCTCTGAGGCAGGGAGTCAGACCTGCGGTGTCAGGGAGGGGGAGGGATCAATGGGCAGCCCTCAGAGTCTCGAGAGACTCTGCCTCCAAACCCATTAGGAGACTGTCCACCATGAACCCCTCCACCCCCAAGATGGGAAGAAACTGGTCTGTCCCTTCCGTTCCCTGGCAGGCAGAACCCTCCCTTAGTTTTCCTCTCTCCTGCTCCCCACCCCCACCCCCCTCAGCACATTCCTGCCTGACAGCTCCGGCTTGTACCTGCCTCACTGCTGTCCACCTTGTTTCAATCAAGTAGGGGGCAGGGATGTGGAGCGCTTGGCTGCACTCGTGCGGGGCTGGGCCTTGGGAGGAAGGGGAGGCTGGAGCCTGGGGCTTCTGCTTAATGCCCCTGCTGAACTCCAGCGAGGTGGCTGGGGCCTTCCCACAGGCCCTGCTGCCTAGGCCAGTGACCCCATTACTAACCACACCTCCCTCAACAGAGACCTGTGCGGTCAACAATGGAGGCTGTGACAGTAAGTGCCACGATGCAGCGACTGGTGTCCACTGCAGCTGTCCTGTGGGTTTCATGCTACAGCCAGACAGGAAGACCTGCAAAGGTGAGGCCAGAGGATGAGGTGGGGACAGAGATGAGAGTTCTTGCAGTCACATCTCCTCAACTCCCTTACAGAGAGCCCAGGGCAAAGCTAAGGGGTGTCTCCTGTCTGCCTCTCCCAGGCCAGCTCAAGGGACACAGAAGTCCAGCCAGCACCCCTGCCTTCTGGGCCTAGCCTCCCTTGTTCCTGCTCCCACCCTTGTCCCTGTGTTGGGGAGAAGGTTCCTGGCCCTGAATGAGCTGGAAGGATATCTGAGCTGACTGTGTGCCTGAGGTCATGAGTGTTTCTGAACTTTTTGAACCCGCATTCCTCAGGTCTTCTCAGTGACTCTGGAATGACACCTCCCTTAGAAAAGCTGCACTGGGGAGTGTTAGGAGCACCAACAGGAGAGCCTGGCTGCGTGCAGTGCAGTACCCCGACTGCCTGCCTACTCCAGGGTGCTGTGCCCCAGCTTCCTCCATTGTACCTTGCTCACACATGTGCTGTGGGGATGGATGATTTTTTTTTTTTTTTGTATACAAATTAGAAAAGTTTGGCACATGGGAGCCTTTTGGCTTAGTTGTCATTATAGTTTAAGTTCCCACACTGGCCATTCTCTTCCCCTCCGTCCAGTTAGCTGGGAGTTGTGGACCTTGAGGGAGAAAGGGGGAGGGCAGCCATTTTGAAAATGATGACTCATCATGTCTGTGCCCCTTTACCCTGGTCATGAGAAGTGGGGATTGGGAAGTAGTGCCGGCTCCTCCTTTGTGTCTTTTGGCCCAACAGCTGCAGGAGGGGGAGGGTTGGGGCACCAGGTCAGCCAGCCGCAGTTGAGAGGCTTCCTGCTGGGAAGGACTGTTGACAGGTAGCTGAGTGAAGTCCCTGCCCCCTCCCCTCCAGAAGGGATAAGTAGCCTGGGTCCTGTCTGCCACCAGCCAGGGGAACTTGACCTCAGGGAGGAAGGTGCTTACTGCCCCTTTCCCTCTAGTACCCAAAGCTGCCAGGCTCTGAGTCTCTCCAGACCACTCCAGGCCAGTCCCCTGCCTGGACCACCCATCATCTCAGTCTCTCTCTCTCTCTGAAGGATGCCCCTTTCCAGCAAGTCCCTTCAGGCTCTCCATATAACCACGGCCCCCAGCTTGGCATCCCTGATCCATCCTTTGTGACAGGAGTCAGGGATTTGAAGGGAGAGCCCTATCTACAGTCTCGGGAATGGCTATCAGCTCGAGTTAAGGGATGTAGACCAGCCTGGAGTTCAAATAGCCTCCTGTTCCCCAAACTCCAGATGGTTGTTCCCTGCTGGCTTAGGAAACCCTAGACTCAGCTTCCAAAGAAAAGGTGCTATAATGGCCAGATGTCCTAAACAAGGAAGACATGGGGACAGAGGGTAACAGCCAAGTTAAAAGGGACAGCCCAGAGCCCTCCTTGATTATTACCCTTGTCTCTTTGAGGAAAAGGTCTTGTCTCCTGTTTGCTTCTAACCTTCAATATTGTCCCTCATTCTACTCTGTCTGCTCCCCCAGACATAGATGAGTGCCGCTTAAACAATGGGGGCTGTGACCACATCTGCCGCAACACAGTGGGCAGCTTTGAATGCAGCTGCAAGAAGGGTTACAAGCTTCTTATCAATGAAAGGAGCTGCCAGGGTAAGCAGGCTGGGGGGGGGGGTGGGAGGCTTCTGGAGAGGCTCTCAGGTGTGAGAGCTTTAGGGATGCCACAGTTTAAGCATTCCTGCAGAGAAGGGAACATCTATATTGGCAGTATCAGCCGCAGGTAGCCAATGGTAACTCCTTCCTTCTGTAAGACCAGCTCCATACTAAGGCACACAACTTGGTGAGGGGTGAGAGTTTTCACCACAATCCAGATCCTTCCAGGTGTGGCCTGCTGCAGCTAGGTCATGACCCACAGGTTCCAGACCCTGACAGAATCTCCAGGCACAGGGCAGTCACAGCTCTGGAGTCAATCTAGGTCTCTTTCAGGTGCCCCAAGACAGACTCAATGGCTCAAACCTTTGCTCTTGCAGACATAGATGAGTGCTCTTTTGACCGAACCTGTGACCACATGTGTGTCAACACACCAGGAAGCTTCCAGTGTCTCTGTCATCGTGGGTACCTGCTGTATGGTGTCACTCATTGTGGAGGTAAGCCTGTAAGCTCATATTGTCCTGCTTCCCAGCCACCCTAGTCCCTCACCTCTCCGCTCTCCAAATGTCTGATGTCCCTGTGCTGGCTTGTGGTAATAAGAAATCCCTGGTGCCTGTGTCATATCTGCATCCAACATGTTAAAACAAAACAAAACAAAACAAAAAAACCCAAAAGGCAGCTTCCCAAGGCCAGCTGGCAGACAGTGCACCAGGGAACAGAACAGCATCCTGCCAGCAAGGTGCTTGTCTATTTACGAGTCTCATGAGCCCTAGGCTGGCCTCAAACATACTATGTAGCCAGAGTGACCCTCAACTCCAGATCCTCCTGCTATCACTTCCTAAGGGTCCAGACTGCAGGAGGCACACCATCGTGCCCACACTCTGAGACCTCCTAAGTTCTACCCTCCCTCCCCATCACTATTCCCAGAGACCCACCCTTAATCGCTAGCCCAGTGTGAGGGTAAGAATGGCGGAAGGCTTTGAGATGCTGGTCAAGTTGGCACCTGCCCAAGTGTCTCTGACTGGGGATAGAGAGAATGGGAAGAAGTTTGAGCTCTCCACAGGTCACAGAACCCTTTAATATCTTTGTGAGAATATTTACCATGAGATCTGTAAATACACAGTCGACCTTTGTGAGGTACTCCCTCACCTTGCATGACTCTGTGTCTGGACACTTACCAAAGGGCCTCACTTGCAGCCCCGTCCCTGGCTCCTACCAATCCACCACTCTGGTCTGTTTATCTACCCCTCCCACAGATGTGGACGAATGCAGCATCAATAAGGGGGGCTGCCGCTCTGGTTGTATCAACACACCTGGCAGTTATCAGTGTACCTGCCCAGCCGGCCAGGGCCGCCTTCACTGGAATGGAAAGGATTGCACAGGTGTGTGGTGCCCCCTGCTGGTGGGATTTTGCCATGCTGTTTCAGGGAGTCTGATGGGAAGGTGTGATGGGTAGAAGGGTGGGGAATGTAGCCAGGGTTAGGCATGCCATCTCTGGCTAAGATGTACCCAGTCTCCTTGGGGCACATTTGTAGTTCTGCACATAGATAATCTGTTTTTCTGAGTTAACCATATGAGGGAGAAGGAGGGCAAGACATGTTCCATATCCTCAGGCCTTGGTCCCCTTCCTAGAGCCAGTGAAATGTCAGAGCAATCCTGGGGCCTCCAAAGCCATGCTTAGCTGCAACCGGTCTGGCAAGAAGGACACTTGTGCCCTGACCTGCCCCTCCCGAGCCCGATTTTTGCCAGGTATGTGGGAAGAGGGGGCAGAGAGTTTGGGAGAGAAGTTGGCTGTCCAGCAGCTCCTCTGTCCCCCTGGGATTCTGCCTACTATTGGGGGGTTGGGAGGCAGGTCAGAGCTGTGATAGGCCCCTTCTCTCAGAGTCCGAGAACGGTTTCACGGTGAGCTGTGGTACCCCTAGCCCTAAAGCTGCTCCAGCCCGAGGCATCCACCCTGGAAACAGCACCACCTCCAACTATTGTCATGGTGAGCACCTGCCCAGAAGCCCCCTCTTTTCCCTAAACACCGCAGTTGTCTTTTTCGCTCACCCCCCTGGCTTGACTCCTTCCTGAATCTCATGCGTGACTTTGTGACTCTCCACCTTGGCCCTCCTGTCTGATACCCTTGGCTTTCGTGGTCCTGCTCTCTCCAGCCAACTCTCAGTGACCAGTTTAAGCCACTTCCTCCAGCAGCCTCACCACCCCTCAACCCCCAGGCTGCACTGAGCCTTCTCTCACCCCTCCAGAGGCTGCAGTGCTATCAGTTAAGCAGCGGGCCTCCTTCAAGATCAAGGACGCCAAATGTCGTTTGCACCTGCGAAACAAAGGCAAAGTGGAGGAAGCCAGCAGAATCCCAGGGCCAGGTCTGGGCCTCATCCTAACGGGTCCCACCAAACTCTCCCTGTCCCTCAGCCCCTCTTTCTGGTCCTGTCCAGAGAGTCACCAGTACCCTGAACTCTGGACAGCAAAGGGGGAAACTGTTGTAGACTATGGCCCGAGAAATCCCCTATCATTCCCTTCCACCGGGTAAACTAGACAAGGAGAGGGCTGCAGGTAGGGCTGGGCTCAGGGCTGCCTGGGCTGGACAGAGAGATGAGAGGCAGGATGGGGAACTCCATCCACAGTGGGAGTCCCTGAGTTTGAAGTTGACAAGGCCTCTGTTTCTAGGTGGTAGCCCTTGCTCTGACTGCCAAGTCACCTTTATCCACCTCAAGTGTGACTCTTCTCGGAAGGGCAAGGGCCGACGGGCCCGGACCCCCGGCAAGGAGGTTACCCGGCTCACACTGGAATTAGAGGCTGAGGTCCGAGCAGAAGAAACGACAGGTGAGCCTATGGACACTGTTGGGTGGAGGGCCAAAGAGGAGGGCACACAGCCTGGGTCCGAAAAGGGGCGCCTGTACCTGTGGCCTGTGTAACAAACCACAGCAGCAAGCTCCTGGGCTGCCTCTCGCCCCGTGCACCCTGCTCCTGCCATTAATCCCTGCTTTCTCCTCTGACCATTCACTCTCTCTGTGCTTTCTGATTCATACAACCATCCATCACCAGCTGGCTGCGGACTGCCCTGCCTCCGACAGAGGACGGAACGGAAACTGAAAGGGTCCCTGAAGATGCTCAGAAAGTCCATCAACCAGGACCGGTTCCTGCTGCGTCTGGCAGGCCTTGACTATGAGCTAGCCCACAAGCCAGGCCAGGTAGCTGGGGACCGAACAGAGCTGGCGGAGGTCTGCAGGCCTGGCCAGCACCGGGCAGGCACCAAGTGTGGTAAGAGAGTTCGCTGGGAAGTCAAGGATGTGGGGAGTGGGGAAGGCCCAACTTGGGCCTGCCTGGCTCAGAGCAGAACAGGACTCTTTACCTCAGGTGCACTGTGAGGCAGCGAAGACCCCCTGAGCATTATCCTCCCTTCCCTCGTCCCAGGCTGAAATCTAAGATGCCAGGCAGGGCCAGCAGCCTTCCTGCACACAGATTTGACCTCCCCACCTCTCTAAGCAGGATTCTGTCGGTGCCCTGACAGATTCTCCCCATATCTGGAAGAGTGGGAAGGGGAGTCTTAGGCCTGGGTGGTGGGAGATGGGGGGTGGCTAGCGCGGCCGACTCTCCCTCAGTCAGCTGCCCGCAGGGAACGTATTACCACGGCCAGACGGAGCAGTGTGTACCATGCCCAGCGGGCACCTTCCAGGAGAGGGAAGGGCAGCTCTCCTGCGACCTTTGCCCTGGGAGTGATGCCCATGGGCCTCTTGGAGCCACCAACGTCACCACATGTGCAGGTGCCAGGGGAACAAATAACAGACTGGGCTAGGGTGGGCATTGGGACGGCCATGGGCATGGGATTTTCCAAAGGGCAGGCCCAGGCTCCAGGCCACTTTCCTAGTTGATGTTCTTTTCCCTAAGACTGGGGTGACCATGGAGTGACCCAGGGACAACCCCATCAGAGTTGGGCCCTTGCTTCATTGCAGGTCAGTGCCCACCTGGCCAACATTCAGTAGATGGGTTCAAGCCCTGCCAGCCATGCCCACGGGGCACCTATCAGCCTGAAGCAGGACGAACCCTGTGCTTTCCCTGTGGTGGAGGCCTCACTACCAAGCATGAGGGGGCAGTCTCCTTCCAGGACTGTGACGCCAAAGGTGAGTAGGTTACTTATTCCACCAGGGATCTCCATGACCTCAACTGCCCCCGGAAACTTTCCCAGTGCCCTGTACAGACCTGACTATGTTATTCCACCATATTCTCTGCGTCTTGTTCTCAAAAGCATCTCTGGGCCAAACCTGGGGAAACAAAGTAACTAGTAATCCCACTTTGCTTTGGAGAGTGGGTGGCCATCCCCCTTCAACTCCTAAATCAGACAGACACTACTCAGTGCCTGCAGGAGGGAGGGCTGCTGCTGGATCCAGCCCCTCTGGCCTTAAATTATGGCCTGATTGGGGAAGGTAGGGACCCTGAAAGAAACTTGGATCTTTGATGTCCACAGCCCAGATGCCCACTTCCCTGGTCTTAGCTCATGCCTTCTTCCCTCCCGCCTGCAGTCCAGTGCTCCCCGGGCCACTACTACAACACCAGCACCCATCGCTGTATCCGCTGTGCCATGGGCTCCTACCAGCCACACTTCCGTCAGAACTTCTGCATCCGCTGCCCAGGAAATACGAGCACTGACTTTGACGGCTCTACCAGTGTGGCTCAGTGCAAGAGTATGTATGTGGCAGGCCAGACTGTGAGGAGCAGGGAAGTGGAGCGAGATCTTGGAGCCATGGGCACAGGATAAGGGGTAGGGGGACAAGCCAGCAGGAAGCCGGGCTGGTGGATGGGTGGGCGGGCAGGCAGCAAGTCCACTCCACATGGTCCCAGACCCTCAGTCTCTAGGCCAGCTGTCAGGCTGAGGCATGCAGCACCCTTTCAGGTATGAAAAGGCAGGAAGAAGGGTGGACCCAGAACTCGAAGAGTGGAGAGTGAACTAGCATGGTGGCTACCTTATGTGTCTGTCCTCCACCTTCAAACTCTTCAGCTTGCTCAACATGGTTTCCCACTGACTTTCCATTGTTTTTCTTGCTTTGTCTCCTGGGTATGGTTACAGATCGGCAGTGTGGTGGGGAGCTAGGCGAATTCACTGGCTACATCGAGTCCCCCAACTACCCGGGCAACTACCCAGCGGGTGTGGAGTGCATCTGGAACATCAACCCCCCACCCAAGCGCAAGATCCTTATCGTGGTCCCGGAGATATTCCTGCCCTCCGAGGATGAGTGTGGGGACGTTCTCGTCATGAGAAAGAACTGTGGGTGACTGCAGAGTGGGCTCAGGGAAGAACGGTTGGATTCTGGTGGGGCTAGAGGAAGAGTTGGGGCAGTGATGTTGGGGACAGATGCTGGCACAGGATGACTGAGGCAGGTTGGGTGGAGAGCAGTCAAGAAGGTAGTCCTGGCCTGGGGTGCCAGTCCACTAAATGCACTAACTCTAGCCCTAGCCTTTTTGTCACTCTGATTTTGTAAATGTCAATTTTAATAGACCATGTGATTGTTCAGTTGTCAATGGTGTAAGTAACCCTGGAGATTATGGAAGAGGGGGTGTGCAGGCGTGTGTCCAGGGAGAGGGAGCCTCTGTTAGAGTGACTTGTGCCTTGCTTCCCAGCCCCACTACCTTCTGACATGACACTTGCCTTGCCAGCCTCCCCATCCTCCATCACCACTTATGAGACCTGCCAGACCTATGAGCGTCCCATTGCCTTCACGGCCCGTTCCAGGAAACTCTGGATCAACTTCAAGACTAGTGAGGCCAACAGTGCTCGTGGCTTCCAGATTCCTTACGTGACATATGACGGTGAGCAAGGACAGGAGGGGTGGAGAGGGGGTGGGTCTTGTGAGGGAACCAAGAGTTGACATCCTCAGCCCCCAATCCTGGTTGACTTCACAGAGGACTACGAGCAGCTGGTGGAGGACATAGTGCGGGACGGCCGGCTCTATGCCTCTGAGAACCACCAGGAGATCCTGAAGGCAAGTGAATGTTCACTATGGCAGCCAATGTAAATGGGCATATACCAGTGACCAGTAGCCAGCATGGCATTCTGTTTCCTGGCTCTCTGAGGCATATGTTTTTGTCATTGCCACTTTCCATGTAAGAGGACTGAGGCACACAGAGCTAAAGAGCTTGCCCGCAGTGGGCTCTGAGTCTAGCTCATAGAAATTAGAAATGGAGTGTCACCACGCTGTGTCACATCTTGAGAGAGGTAAAAGTCAAGGTGAGAAGACATGTCCTCTACCTTTTCAATCAAGGAACGTGGTGGTGGTGGCGGGGAGATAGAATGTAGAAGGATGCTTTGTTTGTTTGTTTGTTTGTTTGTTTTTTAGGGTCTTATTAGTCCAGGCTGGCTTGAACTCCAGGTCCTCCCACCTCTACCTAAGTGCTGAGATGATAGACCTCAGGGAAAAGAGACATTTCTAACACTGAGGATGAGCAATGTCCTGGGTCTATGGAGTCTTGCTAGTGGTGGTGGTGCTCACCTGAAATCCCTGCACTCTGGAGGCATAGGCTGGTGGATCTTTGTGGCATTCTAGTCCAGCCAGGGATACATACAATAAGACTCTCCCCAAAATTATTTTACTTCATCTTTAATTATGGGCATTTGTGAGGATATGTGCCTGTGAATGCTAGGAGGCAAGAGGCATCAGATCCCCCTGGAGATGGAGTTACAGGAAGTTGTATGCCACCCAGTATGAGTGTTGGGAACTAAACTCAGGTTTTCTGCAATGTACGCTCTTAGTCTCTGAGCCATTTCTCTAGCCTTGAATCGCTGAGCCCAAGAGTGAAGAGAAAGGCCTGGGCAATACAATGGACTACATCTCTAACAAAAAAAACCAAATGTACTATGCAACTGCATTTTACAAAGTAGTGCAACTGTACTAGGTGTAGTGGTGCACTGTTAATCCCAGCAGAGGCAGACAGATCTCTGTGAGTTCTAGTTTAGCTGGCTTACACAGTGAGCTTTAGGCCAGCCCTAGCCACATAGTGAGACTGTCTCAAAGGACAGTATAGTTCAACTGTCTTGATTAAAGTGGAGTTGAGAGGCAGGAAGCCCCACCTATTTTAGAAATCTGGGGGTTCAGCTGAGAAACCAGGAGATACGCTGTCAGTTTTGTTGGGGTTTTGTGGGTACGAGTGGTGTGTGTGTGTGTGTGTGCATGTGGAGGTCAGAGGACAATTTGGAGGACTGGTTTTTCCTGCCAGCGTGGGTCTTGGGAATTGAGCTGTGGTTGTGTCAGAGAGGAGTCCTAAGACATAGTGGTTGGCATCCAGTGAGGGGGGCAGGAGACACCGTGAGGAAGGACTTGAAGGGAGCTGTGGCGCCGGTGCCTGGAGTATTCCACTACTGTTGTACTGGGGTGTATTTAAGGGCCACAGGGTGAGGAAGACTAGAGGAGAAGCCCAGCACAAAGAACACAAGGGACCTGATGTTCACTGTGAGTGGTAAAAGAAAGCAGAGGGGCTGGGAGTGTGGGCACTGGTGGAGAAATGGTTGTCAGGCACCAGGCCCTGGGTTCAGCTCCTGGCACCAGTTATTGTCGTTATGAAAAAATAAGCTTTCACCAGACAGGATGATACCTGCCTGTAGGTCCAGCTGCTGGAGCAGCTCAAGTGTGAGGATCATTTGAACCCAGGAGTTTAAGATTTTGCCACACAAGATAGCAAGTCCTCATTTCAGGAAAGAAAATCCAGAGAACAGAAACCGAAAACATGTTTCAAACATGAAGTAAACTAATTAAACATCCTAGAGCAGCTGCTGTGAAGAGACTAATCTGTGCTAGGCCAAGGACAGAAACATGGAGCTCAAGCCCAGGCCTAGTGGCTCATACCTCTAATCCCAGCTATTCAAAAGCCTGAGGCAGGAAGATGGCACATTGTAGGTCATTTGGGTTACAAAGTAAGTTCAAGGCCAGATTAAGCAATTTAGTGGCACCCTGTGTCAAAATAAATAAATAAATAAATAAAAATTACCAGAGAGCTGGAGAGCTGGGGCTATAGCTCAATAATAGAGTACGTGGGTACGTAGGGGTTGGAGGATTGGCACATGCATAGGGGCTGGAGGATTGGCTCAACAATTTGTTACTTCCTGCAGAGGACTCGGGTTCAGTTCCCTGTACCCACACAGTGGTTCAGCTATAACTCTAGTTCCAGGGAATCCAACATCCTCTTCTGACCCCTCTAGCACCAGGCATGTGTGTAGTGCATACAATTCACACAGGTGACATACAGTAAGTACACACAGAACAAGTAAATAGAGAAGAAAAGAATACTTGCCTAGTACATGTGAGGGCCCAGGTTCAGCCCTCAGTATCATGTAAAACAAAAGAAAGAAATAGACCGGTTATTGAAATGGTCCAAGGGCAAAACTATGGTGGCCTGGCTCAGAGTGGAAGCCATGGAGATGGCAATGACTGGTCAGACCTGGCGTGTACTGTGAAGATTAGAGTCAACAGTTTACTGTAGCTGTGAGAAAGCAGGGTCACGGATGGCTCCACAGACCAGGGCCTGAGTAGCGGGGGACTAGAGCTGCCATTACTGAGCTGTGGCTCCTAAAGGAGCCGATGGTTGGACAGAGTCCTGGGGTCACCTCTGGGCATGCTCAGTGGGAGATGCTCTGAGACATGAAGAGGGACTGCTGAGGATACCACTACACTGACAACTGCTACCTGCTGTCTTCTGCAGGACAAGAAGCTTATCAAGGCCTTCTTTGAGGTCCTGGCCCACCCCCAAAACTACTTCAAGTACACAGAGAAACACAAGGAGATGCTGCCCAAATCGTTCATCAAGCTGCTACGCTCCAAAGTCTCCAGCTTCTTGAGGCCTTACAAATAGAGCCCACGGGCCTAGAGACCTGGGTTTCAGAGCTCCAACTCACTGGCCCGCATAGCTGGCGCCCCAACCTCAAGACAAGAATCAGTCCTCCCCTTTTGGAGGAGAAATATCACTACACCAGGCAATCTCCCTTCTGTCTCCCCCCACCCCTCTCTCTCTCTCTCTCTCCTCTCCTTCTTTCTTACATATTCCCTGGAAAAACCATTCAGTGCCAGGTGAAGGAAAAGAACTCTCTCCTCTGCCCACCTCACCAGCTCCCATCCCCAGCCCTCCAGTCTGGAAGGGTGTTGGAGTCCCAGAACAGGATGGGCCTGCTAGGAAGTGGGGGTGGGGAGACAGGCTTCTGCCATTACAGGATGGTTGTGCCTTGCTAGAAAGGAGCCAAAATATCCCCTGTTGTGTTCTCCAGAGTGACTCTTTACAGCCCAGTGTCCTGCCAAAGAAGGCTTTGACATGCCAGCTTTGTGCCAACTCAAGCTGCTGGGCACAGTTTGAGCCCTGGGGTACCTACATAGTTGGCATTCTTACCTGTACACCTCTCTTGCCTGCCTGTCTGCCTGGGTCTGACTCCATAGGATTTACAAGTGATCCATACCACTGAGCCGGCAAACCCTGGCTGAATAGGGGAGAGCAACAGGCAATATCTTGTCTGCCAGAGCCCATTTAGGGCTCCCAGAGACAACACTCTCAGACAACTCTGTGGGACAGAAAGCAGGCTTTTTAAGCCATTGCTTAGAGCAGAAAGAAAAGAAAACGTATCACCTAAAGATCCACCCAGCCTGCAGAATGAGTGGAAGCCAGCGTCAGCCACAAACCCTTTTCTTGCCAGTCCTCCCTGGCCCAGCCGTGCCCTTACCCCACCTAAGTGCTCCCTGGGGGAGGCTTACTCCCCTTGCTAAGTGCTGTCCTTAAAGAAAACTGGCCATGGACCCTTACCAGCTTAGACCTCACTCCACAGTTGTTTTTCCCTTGCAGCTCCAGGTGGCTTGTAGGTGCCACCAAAGAGGGCCCCCACTCCAGCCAGCCTGGAGCTGCCTACCTCTGGCCGTGGATTATGGGCAGCAAAAAGAATGTGTGCCCATGGCAAGCCACCTGCCCACCTGTCCACATCTGAGAAGTGCAATCATGGAGTCTTCCTATGTTGTCTAGAGGGAGGGAGTTGTTTTTTGTTTCTTTTCCTCTTAGAATAACCCTATTTATACCTGCCCAGGAGAGAACTGTACCTTGGGAGTGGAGGACTATTGGTTTGACTCTCATAAGCTTTGAGTGCTGGAGAATCTCATCACTCTCTGTCCTGCCTGAGGCCACTCAGAACTCCAGGACCCTCAGCAATCCCTCAGAGGTGCTGAAAGAGTAGGAGAGCAATTCTGGTATCTTGAAGGAGCAGGAAGGAAAGGGGATGTTGACTAAGCCCACCCTGCCATCCTTGAAGCTCTCTGTGGACTCATGGTTATAGATGCAGACGGGACTGGTCAGTATCCACTCCAAGTAGGGGAAACCTCTATCCGTTCACTGCCTTCGTGTTTCCCCTGGCATGCACGTAGGAGAGGATCAGGACAAATGCTAAGGATGGGCCAGGAAAGGCTGGGACAGCCTTGAATAGGACAATTATCCATGTATGAAGGGGGTGAAGGAACAAGAACCAGGTCTGTGCCTGACGCTGGCCCCCTGCCTCTTAAGAACTGACTTTCAGCCTGTCTCAACTACTGTTTTTCAAAAGGAGGAAGAATCAAGTCCATGCCCAAGCCCAGGCCCTGCGTATGTTCTACCTTAGCGCAGCTGCTGCCTGCAAGGTCTCTAACTTGCTCCGTCTAGCTCCCCCAAGACTGTAGTCCTAGACAGTCACTAGCCACCAGCTGACTCCTCAGGTCCAACTCCAGTTGACTGCCAAGAGATTCAACACTAAATAATCCGATCCCTACACACAGCAGCCAGACAGCCAACAGCAATTACAGCTAGCTTCTTAGATATCTGTTAGCCAGCACTGTGGGGTAGGGGTCTGTTGTCTGTCTCTGGGTCAGAGAATGGTTACAAAACTGTTAAATGGCTTCATAGGAGGGTGAATGGGCATGTCTGTACTTCCCCAGAAGTGCCACAGAACAGCCAGAATCAACTTTGACCATCCTGCTAGAGGCAAGGATAACTTTTTGAGTGCTTTCTCCCTGCCATTATGCCCAGCTTCCGGGGAAGCCACACAGGGAGAGTGCCCCCCAGTATGGTTTCTCCATGCTCCCTTCCCTGTCATACCACAAGGATACTTCCTCTAATCATTTATCATATGGCTGGTGGGATGGCACATGAGTTCCATGGTACAGAGAGCAGGCCACTAGGTTTAGCTGATATCAACACGGATGGAGGGAATCAAGCAAGGACTAGCTGCTGTCAATCAAGTTGGCAGTGAGGCATCCAGGCAGAGAGCTGCTGAACATACAGAGGACACCGGCCCTGGGGTACCTAACTATGGGGGCTCAATGGATAGAATAAGGATAACAACTCAGGGACCTTCTAGGACTGCACAGGTTAGGTGAGGCCTGTCTCTAGGAGGGAGTGGGGGAAATGGGAAGACAGTATGAACAGGAAGCCTTTGTGAAGTGACCCAGGCGCTCTGCAGGCTGCCATGCTTGCAAGGCCACATAACACACCACCTCATTCACCTTAGCACACAGCTGCTAAGCTGATCCTTGAGTGCTCCAGGCACCAAGTGGCACATCCCACGAGGATCCTTGGGTCCTCAGCTGCACAGTGACGCCTCTGTGGCCCTCAGCCTCTATACTGTCAGGCCAGCCAACCCCTGACCCGGAGGTAATTCCCAGAACTGGGAGAGCCCTGCCTGGTGCCCAGACTTTAGGGCCCACCCTAAGCCTTCAGGACCCTCAGATTGCCGCTGTGCTGTTGGTGCTCTCGCCTCCCCTAATGGAGGTGGGAAAGACTCAGATTTGTGGCTAAGTTCAGGTGTTCGGTCTGGGCTTTGGCTCTTATAATTCTTTGCAACTCTGAGTAGTGTTGGCCATGTACATGTTTGCAATGATTTGTAACTGGATTAGGAAGTCTGAAAACTTAGGGAGCATTCAAATGTCTATGCTTGCTGCTGAGCTTGAAGATGACAGTCTCAAAGCAGGGGATGGAGGCAGATTGTAACTGACCCCAAGCAGAAAATGTTCATCTGCCTGGTTTCTTTCTCAAGCCCAGGAAAAGTGGAAGAAAACACCACCAAGGAAACCTTTACATTGGGCCTGTCTCAAAGGTGGAACAGCACTATTTGGACTAGGACTCCTTTAAGGATTAGAGGGAACAGAAACCCTGGTTCTGTTGGCAGTTCACCAGCACCAAAAAAAAAAAAAAAAAGGTAGTAGTTCGGACAAGCTAAAAATTCAGCTGTGTGAGCTGAAGTTTCAGAGAATAATTATCATGTGGAAGGCTTTTTTTGTTTTGTTTTATTTTTAGTGCAGAAGAAATCTCAAAATATTGTATTTATACCTGCCTTCCACTGCTACCAATACAGTAAGCATCTCACGATCAACAATAAACAGCAGTGTGGTTCATAAAGTATTTTGCACTTGGGGAAGAATATGTATCTGAACTTGTAAAAAGGAATGTTTGGATTTTGTATTGTCTTTTTTATATTATTAAAATACTAAATGGAATGCCTCAGTCTGGCACGAATCTTTTCTACTTCAACAGCTTGTCCTGTAGCTGGGGAAGAACCCTAACCAGTCAAAGTACTCTGACTCCAGACAAGGCTGGCTCCTTCTACCCCAACTCACCTTTGTTTTTTGTTTGTTTTTAAGACTTATTCATTATGTACACAGTGTTCTACCTGCATGTATCCCTGCAGGCCAGAAGAAGGCACCAAATCTCATTACAGATGGTTGTGAGACAGCATGTGGTTGCTGGGAATTGAACTCATGACCTCTAGAAAAGCAGCCAGTGCTCTTTAACATTTAAGCCATCATTTCTCCACCACTCCTCCAACTCATCTTATTCCCAATGACTTCGGATTTGGGAATTCTCTCCCTTTCTATCTTTAAAAGCAATATAGGGAGCTGTCTCTTGCTGAGTGTGGTAGAACATGTCTTTAATCCCAGTATTCAGGAAGCAGAAGCAGGACAAGCAGCCTGACCTACATAGTGAATTTCAGGCCATCCAGGGCTACACAATGGGACCTAGTCTCAAAAACAGAGGGGGCTGGATGGATATTTAAAGTGTGTGTGTTTCCTGGGGCTGCAGTGATGGTTCAGTTGAGAGCACTTGCTGCTCTTCCATAAGACCTGAGTTCAGTTCCCAGCACCCATATCAGGTTGCTCTTTACTACCTGTCATTTCAGCTTTAGGGGATCTGGACTCTACAGACACACAAAAAAACCAATAAAAAAAATTTTTTTTTTTTTTTTAAGAAATGGTTTCTTGTCGAGCGCTATCGCCTTGCCTGCAAGAATGACGCTCAACAACAGGATTCTTCTGCAGCTATGTTTATTGCGCGGCTCATTACAGCAAGTTGAGGGAAGACCCCGAGGAGGAAAAAGGGCTCTGCTTATATATGCTCAGAGGAGTCATGTCCGTTACTGACAGTTGCAGCCCGAAATGCTCGTAACTGTCACCCCATGACGTGGATCGCGCATCCGCACCTTGCTGGCTTATGGACAGGAAACCGGCGCCATCTTCGGGAATGGCACCGGTGGCTCTCTACATCTCCCCCTTTTTTGTTTTATAAACGCAACAGGCAAGGGTAGTGGTCTGATCTCCAGGAACGAGATGGACATTGTAATGACCTTGAATCCTGGTAGTTAGCCAAGTCAGTGCCATACCCGTCTGGCATCTTTTCCCTGGAGGTGGGGCCTTGGACACCAACCCACATGCAACCAGACTTGCCCTTCTCAGAGCTGCTCATGGCCAGAGTCAACCCGGAGTGCAGTGCTAAGCCAAACAACCTGAGCATGAAGAATTTATTACAGTAGGCTAAACTAAAGAAGCACCTGTCTGCATGCAATGGGAAAAAACCCCACAGAGCATTAGGGCTGTTTCTGGTAAAATATAGACACCCTAACCTGGTGCAATGTCATAGAAGACTCAGGGTGCAAGGGCTGTCCTATTGGACAATTAATGTCCATTTTTTAACATGCTTAGCCACACAGTGGGAGAGAAGCCTATCTCCATAGCAGCTAGGGCTTGAGCGATAACCACTTTGTCATGTGTCTGTTGAGCACGTAGCTTACTCACCAACCAGAGCAGGAGCACCACCCCACCATATAACAGCAGGCCAAACCCCATTACACCCACCCACTCCTAAAAGTGGGAAAAAGCGGTGGAGATCCAGGAGAATGAGCCTTCTGATAGAGAGGCGTCCACACGGGTGGAATTCACATGGACGATGGCCATTCGGAGTTGGTCCATCAGGCTATCAAATTCTCCTGTCCATTCACCTAAAAGATACTGAAAAAGTTGTTTACAAAGGTTTG